ATGCGTGTTTTCCCCATTGCGAAGATCGGGTATATTTCCGTATAGCGATCCCGAAAAAGGGATCGCTATACGGAAACATCGCTATACGGTGCACTCGCTAAGCGAGGCACCACTGTATTTACAAATTATAAACTGCCACTTCATGTTGGTGCATTGTGCTGATGCTGCAAAGTTAAACAGCTTACTCATAAATTCTGTTATGCCTTCTTTGTGGAGAATACAAGGGGACCAGTTCTTAACTGAATTATGCAAACACTGAAAGCCTTATGTAAAAGAAGTAAACATTCCAGGGACCTGCCCACATTTGCTCAGCATTTTCAAATCAGATGCTGTATTAAATAATGAAATTGCCCAGTGATGAGTGGATTTGAGGGTTACACATTTGAGTATGTATAGAAGATGACACCCTCTTCAGCATCATGTTAATTCTTCATGGGTATGGCAGTGTTTTGGGCAAACATTCAATTATGTCATCTCCAATTGGAATTCTGAAGTAATTTTAGGAATACCCTTAGCAGGTTGATGAATATATCATTTGCCGTACAGTTTTCAGTACTGTGAAGCCCAAACCTCTTTGATGACAATCAGTTTGTCTTTAGAGATTGAATTTTGGCTTCAGCCTCTCCATCAGGTTATGACCTTTAGTGTCTATAGAAAGAGAATGCTTTGTTCCCTATCTGAACAAACAGATCCTGTACTCGTATGTATAGTTGCATGAAAGTAAGGCCCACAACATACTAGGCCTTGATTTTAAGTACATGTATTTGTTATGAGCATATTGTAATTTTGCTTAAAATGCTTGCTTGTTTCAAGAAGGTTCTAACTATGTGTTTTTAAAGTCCTGCTTCCCTCTCCTCTTGTTCCAAATCCCTCTCTTTCCTTCTAAATCCCTCTCTTTCCTCTGTGAAACAAAGACTTGTTTGTTCCTTGTCTGCCTGTGAGGTCTTCGCTGCATGGCCCATGTGTGGGTGCAGAGCCCTGTATTTAAATGCTTCCCTGATACCCGTGAAAGCAAAGAACAGGAAGCTGTTAAATCCAGGCTGCGGCAGATAAAGGAAGTTATTTTTCCCTTTTTCCATCTTCTTAGTTTAGATAGTGTTTAGAAATGAGCTGTGTTTAGAGATCATTAGAAGGCTGTCTTGTGCCTCTGAAGTGGCTCTATAGGTACATGAAAACAAGGGTGTTCCCTGTGAAGAATGTATAGCTGTGTGTGTGGCTTTTGCTATGAGGCATCCCTCTTCCCTCTCCACCAACTTTAATTAGTCATGGATTCTGTTGCCCCGGCCCCCAACTCCACAAGTGTTACTTGCTAAGCTAAATATTCAATTTAAGATCACAAACAATTACATGTCTCCAAGGGCTGCATATACTCAGGCAGGCCATTTAAGAGAGACTTAATACTGTGGAAAAGCCCTTCATTTTCCTCCTTGTCACCTTCCAGACTCATAAATATCAGACATAATATTTAATATGTCACATTAAAAACCACTATTCTGCTCTTCTGAAAAACTTTATATTTTCTTATAGACCTGGTAGTCTTCTCACTCTCCAGGTTTTTTTTAAAGAAAAACAAAGTACCACAGTGTAGAACAATTCTTGTGCCACTCCTCTGTGCTTTTATATTTTTTTTCTGTGACGATTCTGGAGCAATTGTCCTCATAAATGTTAATCATATTGTGCATCTCAGTCCTGGCTGAAAACATGTTCAAGGAATTGAAAGTGTTGGTTATTTTTACACATGCCTATAAATAGCCTAGGTTTGATCTTCAGCCCAGTAGAGCTGGCTGATGGTTGTCTGTTTACAACTGAAATGGAAATTGGCACAATTTTTACATGAGCCTATATTTATCATAAATGTATTCTGTTTCGTTGACCCAGGAGCAGCCCACTTGGCTGAACCGTGTAATTGGAATAGCAGACTTGCTGCCCAAGTGTTTTGTTAGTTTTTAACTGACTCTTGAGAACTCTGGATGTAAACCAAATTGGGAAATGACCATCCCTGGGGAGGAGCTGTCACGTCACTGTCCTATTTTCCCTGTTCTCAGATGTCATTGTTAAGGATTCAGTTTGTTCACTCCTTCTATTTGACCACTCTATCATGACTGGAAGAATCATTGGGATCAGCAGTGGAATGAAAGTTGAATCTCTAAATATTTAGAAGGTCTAAATAAAGATAGCATGTGCAGGTCTGAACCATAGGTTTGCAAGTTTGGTAGGTCTAGGGATGTGTTTCCTCCCCTAAATGTCTCCAAGGGCCACACAAAAGTCCAAAATCTGTAAAGAACAAAACTAGAGTTGCCTGGAGACATTTGCTTTGTTCTTTGTTTTGGGTTGTTAAACATGGAGGGGGTGGTGACCTATTTAAAAGGTGAACCGTAGCTTCCAGAGGATTCCAGGAGCAGTAATGTGTTCTTTTGGCCAGGAAAGGTTTGGGGGATTTTGTTAGTTGGTGTTGCAGGCAGGGTTGGTTAGGGGAGGAGGAGTGGTAGATTTCATTTGGAATCCCATGGTCTAAACAGTCTTAAAGAATAATCTTCCCTAAATTTCAGAAGTTACTTGCTGAGCAGTATGTAGTATCCTTTTGTGAAACCTCCTGTATAGTTTGCTGGATTATGATCTATATTATATAATAATAGGACATTCCAATGCTGTGATGCCCTTTTGGTTAAAGTTCTTGAATGAATTGGTGCAACACAAAATTCAGACTCGATTCAGGGCAAGGTGATAAATGGGATTTGCCTTTATCCTAGCATTATCAACATTCAGCAAGAATTCATTTTTTAAAAAGTATACTGTATTTGTATTACAAACAGGTTCTTTGTCAGTTGCTTTCTTTCTAGCTTTTCACTTTCTTCTATTTTTCCTTTTCTGCTTCCACATACAGCTCATGGCATTTTCATGTAAGTTGCATAAGCTTTCTAATTACAATGATCCGTTAAAAAAATCAGCATCAGGTTTGGGGCATATAGGGATGTGGTTTTTTCGAATCATACACCATTGCACCACAAATGTAACCAAATCATGGAAGCTAAGCAGATCATGGAAGCTAAGCAGAATCAGGTCTGGTTAGCATGTGAATGGGAGACAGCTAGGAAATACCAGGGGTCTCCAGATCGTTAGAAAACAACCCTTCCTCAACCACTGGAGACCTGCTCCCAGTCAGTGTAAGCTTCTTGTGTGATTGTAGAAACACCTATATTCACTGCACCTGAAGAGCTCTGGTCATTAAGGAAGCGTGTGGAACCTGCATGAGTTGAGGGGAGTGCCTGTCTCAAGGAGCAGAAATCTGGCATAACCAGGTTATTTCACCCTTTAATCAACCCACCCTTGAATCAGGGTTTTGATTTCCATTGAGAGATTACCTTGGTAACCCAGACTTCCCCTCTTCAGACTATCACACATCTTTGTTATTTGTGGCAATAAGTTGGAGCTACTGTGGTCCCCTGCATGTGTGTAAGTTCGACATGCTTCCTTAACATCTGAACAGTGCTCTAGTGCAGTGGTTCTTAACCTTGGGTTACTCAGGTGTTTTTGAACTGCAACTCCCAGAAACCCCAGCTAGCACAGCTGGTGGTGAAGGCTTCTGGGAGTTGCAGTCCAAAAACACCTGAATAACCCAAGGTTAAGAACCACTACTCTAGTGAAACTGAGCGTGCTTGGATTACATGGAAGGCCAGGGCTCATTGGGAATCCTTACTTGCCTTGGGCAAACTGGTGTGTTGACTCTCACCTTCCACTTACAGCAGAATTAGGTCCAAGTTTGCTGTGGCCTAACAGGGACACAGTAGCAAGTCTGTATTATCTCCAAACATAGTTGCAGGATTTGTTTCTAGGTTTAGTTACAGTGTTTCCCTGAAAATAAGACAGGGTCTTATATTAATTTTTGTTCCAAAAAAAGCAGTAGGGCTTATTTTCTGGGGATGTTTTATTTTTTTCATGTACAACAATCTACGTTCATTCAAATACAGTCATGTCATCTTCTGGTTGCTGTACAATGGTCGAGGGTGGGCTTCACTTAACCAGGGCTTCTTTTGGGGGTAGGGCTTATATTACAAGCATTCTGAAAAATCATACTAGGGCTTATTTTCAGGGAAACAGGGTAGAAGGTTGTTCTAAAGTTGTTTGCAACTGTGTTCACCTATCACAACAAGTAAAGTATAGGTAAAAGCTACTCTAGTTTGCAGCCTCATTGTAGGAGTACTTCCCCCCCCCTGGAATTCACCCACAAAGTAAAATTCCAGCTTGTTGTAGCATGCAAACCCACCCATTGTTTTTCATTAGGTAGAATGTGTCTATTTATTGTGTGCTACCTTGATAGTTTATAAAGGCATTTTATGTATGTCAGAAATATAAAAATAATCTTGCTGCTTGGAAGTCAAGGGTTTTGGTAGCTTTAAAAATTATGTGATGTATCTTAAAGAGAATCCCAGTTCTGCATTCCAAAACCCAGTTATCCATGGGAATTTATACACATTTGTAAAGCCTGATGACTGACACAGTTTTGGCAGCAATTCTTTTCGTAGTTTTTGCAATTTAGAAAATATTGGAATGGGCTAGAGTGGTAGAAATCATTAAGTAAGAAAGAGCTACCTATTAGAAAACAGCCTGAATCCTTCCTAGACCCGTTTGAACTTTTCCTGGTAGTCAAGAGAGCTAGAGTTTTTATAAAGAATAATGAGGCAGATATTCTCGGTGAAATGTCAGGAACAGTCCTGGTGGCAGGCAAGGAAAAATGAAGTATAGGCTTGAGATAGGTAACACCTCTACTGTGATTTCCAGCATTCTGAAGCTAAATAAACTGGTATTTTTTATTTATCTAAGCCCTTATATGCCAACTCTACCATCAGAAGATGATCCACAAGATCAAAATGAAAGTTGCTAATGCTTGTGAAAATTGTGATACACTCCTTTTTGTTGTCTGCTTTTAAATGAGCTTTAAATGAGGTCTCTGAACTATGCCTTGTTATTTAAAATGCTTGCTGTGCTATTTGCATCCACAGCTATGAGTCAGAGAATCAGCCAAAGTGTTCCAGTGAAGCCACCTCCACTAGCCCCCCAGAGTCCACCTGGTGGCGTGCTGGGAAGTAACAACTCTAATCAGCAGCAGCAGATGAGACTGCAACAGCTGCAGATGGAGAAAGAAAGGTTACGACTGAAACATCAAGAACTGCTTCGGCAGGTGAGGCCACAGGTTAGAAATGCATTTCCACTGTAATGCCGTCTGTTGTGTGTGCATGAATGGGTGGCATTATGCTCATCAACTTGTAGCTCTAGGAAGCATTGGCAGATTTGAGGAGGAGGGGCTACTTCTTCATTGTGATAAAGTTTGAGATTTGAGTGTTTTAAAGAATATTTTCCTTTTTGGACAAATTTCCCAACAATATACCACAGGTGTAAGCAAATGAATTTATCTCAGGAACTGTGACTCTTCATAATCTGTGTGTGCTTCCTTTGATCTCTGGTGCAAGGGCTGTTTCCTAATATCGGTGCCTTTTTCATTGCTTCAAATTCAACTACATGGACAGCAATCTGTCAGGCTGCCTTGCAAAGTTAATGCTCTGCATGGATTTCTCTGCTCTTGCTGAATTGCCCATCTTCACAATGGGGCAACCTTGTAAAATGAATCTAGCTTTGCCATATTTGAGCCTCTGATTCCTGTATACTTTCATGTACTCTTCATATGCTGTTTGTAAAAATAAGGCTGGTCCTCTCTAGGAGGTCATAATCTATCATTTTGTTTCCAACAATAGCTAGCCAGGTCCTTCTGAATGCTTGCAAGCAAGGTCTCAAAATACTGGCCATATTGCCTGTCTCCAGCATCTGGTATGCAGAGGTATAAAGACTTTGTACATGGACACTCCATTTAGCTCTCTTGGTTTATAGCCATCAACAGACTATGTCCTCTGAATATTTTAAAATTCATCGAAAAAATTGTCCATGCCACTGAAGCCAACGTCTATAAGCATATCATGTAGTCATTTGACAAAACCCAGATGAAATATTTGGTATCTCTCATTATGAACTCCGTGGCTATGTTCTTTTGGCCATGCTAGATATAAACTTGACAATACTTGTGCATGGTTAGTAAACAGATTTTTTTTTGCTTTCTGATAACAGTTGTGAAGATTGTCACCAAATAAGTTTGCTAACCCTTTAATGAAGGATAAAGAGTGTAGTGAAGTGCATGTCAGTAAGCTATTTATATACACATCCCATTATGAACAAGTTTCTCCATGTGATTTACAAGAAAGAAAATGCATGGGAAATTCAATCATATTAGGCAGTCTTTGTTTTGTTGAGTATAATTTGTGAACTCATAACTTCTTTAAAAGTAAATAGAATAACTAAGTGTCTTTGCTTCAGTTTTAATTAATTTCTAAAACATTAATAAATTTTTCTAGGTGGTTCAAATATAGCTGATTTTCTGCTTTTTGCTTTTTTATAACCCTCAAGGCATGAACCCAAAGAGACAATGAAGCTTACTTTCTACTACTATCCCTCTCAATCAGTGCTTCCTGTCCTAGATCTGTTGCTAATTATTTATTAGTTCCTTGTTTCAAATCTCTGGCATCACTTCTGCAAAGGTTGTGGGGCATTGCAGATATCCTAACCTCTATGAGAGTATTCGGTTAAATATCTCCCTCTTTCTATTTGGGTGATGGGCCCTGCATCATAAAATATTTTCATGCTCTTGGAGATCATTTCCTTAGGCTTTTTGCCTTCATCACCTCTTGCTTTTTCTACCGTTATTCTGGAGTCTAACTCACTTTTATGTATTTAAGGAATATTTGTAGGGTAACCCCTTTGTTTGAATAGACTCAGTGTGGGATGTGTCCCGCTTTTAAAAACTACTTACATTTGTCTGCAGACAGTTTTAAGGGCTTTTTTAGCTGAAATGTCTTGAGCTTTTCCTGTAACTGCTTTGCTATTAATCCTCAAAGAAATTCATACGCCAGCATGCTTTTAGATAAGGCTCCTAATTTTGGATTTCTTTTCTTCTTTGATAACTTCTTGACAAGTTGACTAACTTCAGGCCAGGCAGCATTGGCTACTCTGATGTCCCTTCTTTCTGTGCCCTATATGTTAAACCAACCTGTATTCATGTGCTCTGTAAGGACTCCTAAGCGTCTTGTTCCGTTATGCAGCAGCTTTTATCATCTCTTAACTACCTTACCCTTTGTCATCTTTGGCTGTCATGGAAATCTGCCTCTACAGAATGCTAAGAGGGTGATGTATGTGTCAAGTCCACCTTCCCATCCCATCACGAGCCACAAGAAAGTAATGTTTATCCATGTTATTTCTTTTACTCTTAGGCATTGCGGAATATCAATCCCAGCACAGCAAATTCTCCAAAACGTCAGGTAGGCGCCTAACAGATATTTCAGCAAGCTAAGAAGCATTTTTTAAAACTTAGATCAGCTACAAAAGGTGCTTGAGTGACATGAAGCTACTTGCATTTTCTAACTCCAGCCTGCCAATAATCCCAGCATGCTTGAAAAGAAAAAAGCTTTGTGAATCTCTAAAGTTTGTGTCTCCTGCTTTAAAGAATACACAGCTTAATGAGATGCATCTGCACTTGCTTTGTCCCCCATTCCCCACCCTGTGATGCAGTGGTTTTCAGAGGGCATGTCTCATTTGTCACTGCTGGGCAAAGCCTCTCTTTAATGGGATGAGACCTTGCCACTCCTACAATGTACTAGTTGGCCCATTAAGACAAGGTTTCTTTTGTAACTTCAGGAGCATATTTTGTCCCAACGCTTTTCCACTTGGCTGAAACCTGACCTTCCCTCAGACTTGAAAACCTTCCTTCTCTAGCAGCATGAGAACCTCTTGTTGATCTACATGGCCATAGAGAATACAACTGGAATTATCATATCGGCAGAGCTTCATATCAAGATGGTTGAACATTTTGCTATTAATCAGTAGTGTAGTAGAATCAGGGCATTCCGGGTCAGTGCCCTGGAACCTCCTGAGTAGCAAGGACTGTAGCATCATCCACCATCACCTAAACCTTCCTTTTCTCTCTGAGCTTAGCTGAAATCCTCATAGCAGCTGGGAAAGAAATAGATTTTCCTGTGAGTATTATATTGTACAAACTGTTCGGATGCGATTTGGTTTTTAAGGGATGAAAAAGAGTCATTAGCTTCACTAAAGATCTGCTCCTCATTTGTGGATATTGACTGATCCGACCACCTTCATTTTTGGAGTCTCCTGGAAAGGTGATGGCTGTGGGGGTGATAAGCCCTTGCACTTCCAAATTTACTTCTACATCATTACTTTTAAATAATTTTCTCATTTTCCAATTTATATAAAAAGAACTGTGTCTGGTTCAGTTAATATTTGATGTTCCAAATATTCAATGTTGTGGCCTTGTGACTTAGTTACTGAGTGGGAAAAAAGGTATCAAAGCCCAGAATCAGTTTTATATCTACGATGTTCCATAGGCTGCAAAGGAGATAAAGCGACACAACATTAGTCCATCACTTGCTTCAGTTATCCTGGAGATCCAGTATTTGCTTTCATCACTAGGTGAGACCTAGTTTGTTCTGCCTCCAAGCAATGGAGTATTTCTTTTGCTGTGTACTCTGCACAAATGGAATACACACTTAACCATTTGTGCTGTAAAATCCACTTTGCTAACTTCAAAGTTACATCTCATTCATTCTGTGTCCTTTTTAAAAAATAGAATTCTAGTAAGAAAACTTTAGCATCAGAGAAATGAAGTAGTAGAAATTGGGCACTTTTGGTAGCCTGATTGATAGCTGTGAGAAATCTATTAAGATTTTTAAAAAATCTTTGATACACTTTTGAAATGTGGCCACTAGAGCTTTTACAGAAATGCTGTTTCTGAACTCTCTATTATCAAAAGCTCTCAGCACCTTGCCATTACTTCCCTTTGTCAACACAACCAAAATAAAATGGGGGTGAATATAGAGTACTTGTGATAGATTACTGTTCAAAGAACAGAGGAGTGTTCCAAATTGACTATCTTTTCCCCTCCAAAGTTGTAGAGACCTTGGATTACAGAAAATCACTGCTCTTTCTTTCCTTCCTTCCTTATTGTGAATCATGGAATTCTATTTCACGCTATTTCCCATAAAGGCATCTTGATGCTGACCTCTCGTAGTTTTCTGTTTTTATTAAAGAAATTATCTTTTCAGTACTGGAGTTAGCTTTAGAGCTGGTTGAAGTGATCATGGTTTTCTCAGTATGCCTTTCATTTATGATTGGTACTGTTCCAAGTTGTTGTCTCCTAATCTGAATTTTTGTCTTCTATTGATTTATCATGTTGAGTTGGAAAAGAATAATAATAACTGTGTGCCATCAGATCAATTCAGATTTATGCTGATCCTTTCCAGGGTTTTCTATGTAAAGAGTACTCAGAAGTGGCTTAACATTCCCTTCTTTTGGTGGCACTGTGGGACTGTACAGCTTGCCCAAGGCCACACATGCTTACTCCGCTTCCTGAAAAGCACAATGAGGAATTGAGCTTTCAGTTCTTGGCTCCACAGAAAAGATATCTAATTCACAGAGATATCCAGCCAGCCAATAATTGTGTGCTGTCGAGTCAATTCTGACTTACTGCAACTCTTTTCAGGGGTTTCTAGGTAGAGAGTACTCAGAAGGGGACTGTACAGCTTGCCCAAGGCACACAGACTGCCTTTTCTCCTTGGAGGCGCAGTGGGGTTCTGCAGACTGTTACCAGACTCACTGACCTATTCAGCCAGCTGAGCCGGAAAATATTAGACCAAGATTTTTAAACTCCATGGGCCTTACTGTTGCTTCCACCTCATCTCCCGGAGATCTGTAGTTCCGTTCCTTACCTTGCTGGAATTTTCATGTTGCATTCAAACGGATTGTAGAAAGGAACTTAGAAGTCACCTAGTGCAAATTCAGGCACTGATCTAAGACCTGCTAGAGAAAAAATGCCAGTTTATCTTACCTCTGAGCATGCTAGAAGCAAATAGCATGAATTAGCAAGCTATACAAAACTGAAATATTTTTTCAGCAACCCAGTAGCAAGTTGTGGAAGAAGGTGAAATAATACTCTGACTTACTAGCCACTCCAGTCTGTAAAAACTTTCCAAACTATGTGTGGTAGTAATTTGAACATGTGTTCACTAAGTTCTTTCATGTACAGTATAAAGTACACATTTTTAACAGAAGCCTTCAGCATCAACATCTTTCATTCATGGAAGCTCAGAAGAGACTCACTAAACTTACATGAATGGTAACCCATTTGAATTGGTTAGTCTCTCAATTTTTTCTAGCCCTGGTTGGTCTAAAACCTTCACTTCTTTATCTCAATGCTGCTTACATTTACTGGGTAATGTTTTTGCTGTTCACCCTTCCAGTTCTGGGCATGGTAAATTAAGAAAGATATTCAGAACCAACTTGCAATGACCCTGGTAGGGCTCTCGAGGTAAGTGAGATATTTTATCAATTCCTCCACCACCATCCGCCCTATACGATTCAAACCCAGGTCTCCTGAGTCTTAGGCTGATATTTTGGCCACTGTAGTACCACACTGGGCATTTCTACTGGTTGCATATGGCACTACATCCATCTGTTTGTGCCTGGTACTGTGTGGAAAACCTTTAGCTCATTTCTTCTATTGGAAATATGGATGTATTGTGTGTTGCTAAATTTATGTTTAAAAACCAGGAAATTTAATCCTTTAAACTGAACCCTCTGGTTTATGAATGATTCAAAATAAGGAACCAGACCAACATTGCCTTCTAGTATCATGCCTGTATTGCTAGCAGGAAAAAGAGTTCCAACCTTTATATAGCAAAGTTGAGTCTGAATGTTGGCAACAGCAGTGTTAGCAATCAAGATCATGATTTAAATAACTAATCAGTAAGACTTGATTTAAATCATAATTTTTAAATCTAAAGACTCATTCTTGCTGGTTGTTATAATCGTTAATATTTGCAACCAAACAAAGATTTCATATTTAGAATAGTAATCTGTCAGATTATCAAAACAGCTACATCAGAACAGATTTTAGTGTAATACATTAATCACTCATATTTAGAGAAGTACTTAAATTATTTTATTTAAATAAAAAAACATATAGCACAGATACGCATATATTTGCTTTAATATCAATGTGTTCATTTTTGTACGTAGATTTGCAGAACAACAATGGAATTAAAGTTTTTTTCCTGAACCTTGTTCATTTTGTACCATTTCTACTGTGAAAAGGTTATCTCAGCTTGGATAACTTGGATTAATTGAATTATTTCACCAAAAACATAAATATTGCATGAATATACATACAGCTTCATGCTACATAATTTCTATTTCATGCTGGATAATCTATGAGCTATAATGTATCTTAAATAGAAAACTATTTTTAGATAGATTTTTCCTCCAAAAGCATTTCATTAAAATAAATTTGATTTAAATTTTAAAAAATCCAATTCAAATTAAAAAATCTGATGTTTTAATTTTTTTTAATTATAAATTTTTATCCACCCTGAGAGGAATGTATTCAGAATAACATTCAGGCTTAATTTCTATTATGATGGCTTGTATTGTTTTCCCTCCTCAAAAGTACTTAGATACCAGTGACTACTAATTAAGATTTAATATTATCCAAGTTTATTTGTTCAACATCTTCGAAGAATATTTTTCTTAAATCTTGAAAAATAATGTTGTGGAACATATCACTGATTCCAAAAGCTTTGCCAGTTTTTATTAGCTATACTGGATATAAGATTTCATATATCTATATTGCCAGTCCAATGTTGGCATCTTGTTCAATACAGTCTATTGATTATCTTCAAACAGTTCTTTAATGCATCCACCCACACTGTGTTTTTACCCTTGACATCAAATGACAAGAACATTCTTACTATCTATTAATAGCAGGCATTGGCCTTCTGTTAAGTCCTTCATCTTTTTATTTGCATTATAGAAGATTTAGATCTTCTCTAGGTTTTCTGTTTCTTTACAGTGTATTATTTGGACCACAATTTTTCTTTGTCTTTTCTAATTTCATATCAGATCTTCTTCCATAATTCTCTGTATTTGATGCTTTTTTTTTCATTCGTTTTCCTACTTCTGCCACAACCTATGGTATTTCTCTTTTCACCCACTTCTTCCTTTAAAAAAAAAATTAACACTGAGGGAGCAGCTTCTGGACCAGCTTTGTTGAATAGTGTACCTCAGACATAGCAAGTATTGGGTGTAGATTAATTAACACAAACCCCTCAAAAAGCCTCAGCGGAGCCATGAGGAACTAAATTGCCCTTTAATCCCCCATTTGACCTTGGGCAGCAGCAGTGTCACTACGAAGCCATGAGGAACTAAATTGCCCTTTAAACCCCCATTTGACCTTGGGCAGCAGCAGTGT